CTGATAACGCTATTCATTAAACAAATCGATTTTGACACTCATTGTTTCTGTAATCAGCGGTTTAATCTTTTCTTTGTTTATATGCATTTAATTTGGTAATTGTTGGTTTTATTTACAAACAAGAGATTATAGGCAAGGATTGTTTCAATATTGAATTTCTTTTTCCTATCTGCTTTATTTACACATTTTGATTATTTTCAGTCACGTAGGGGCCATCTGCTCCGTCCTTCAATTCATCTGTTCGGTATTACTAAACAGAAAGAAACCTAAACTATAAACTAAGTTCGTTTATGTTGAAGGATTCCGTAAGTTCTGTAGATGGAAGTGTAAATTTTATACATCTATGAAGACCTAACCAAGAATAGCTGCAATTATGTATAGGTCCTCTGAAATCTGCAAAATCTTTCAACATTATGTGTTTGTGATGTTACTCTGAGTGTGCATCCACACCGGGCAAGCTGAAAATTTTGCCTGACCACGGTGGGAATCGAACTTTTCAGCTTGCTCGGTGTGGATGCACACTCAGAGTAAACACCACAAACATATTCGCCTGAGTACAGTAACACCAACACATACAAAAAGTATCATGTATTTCAACATTAGTTCGATGGAGATGCCCATGCATGTATATGCATGAACTTGTGGTTAGAGTTCGACAACTGGACTTTGTAGCTCAGTTGGTTAGAGCACTGCACCGGAATCGGGGGTTCGATTCCTGCATTTCGCAGCTGCTCTTGATGGTTAGGTCTAATAAATGTATTATATTTCCACTCGATGATTTATTGATTTCCATCTACTAAAGTCCTTCAACGATAGTATGACCGCATAGCTCTGTCATTTCTGAAATGTTCTCTTTAGAAAGGGCCATTTCAGTACTATCGGTCCAGCTTGTTACAGGAGGAACTATAAACTGAGCTAACTTATAGTCTACTGAATAGATCCATCAGTTCTAAACTGTTCTCTCTAGAGGTCCATGCAGTAAGTGTCATTCCTTATTGATCCCATGTGTTACTACAAGAGAAAATCTGAACTAAACTAACTATTCGTACTGCATGGATAACTGTTCTAATCTGTTCTTCTAAGATGTCCAGTGATGGCCGTTTGCTGTCGGTCCAGTCTTGTTACAAGAGTAACCATCATCAACTAAGCTAACTTTAGTTATCCTGGATAACTGTATCAATTTCTTAACTGTTCTCCTTGGGGATTCAGTTAAACCTGTTTTCCATACGGTCGTAAATATTGCGTCACGATCTTTCTCAACAGCAGACATACAACAGTTTAGAACTGAAAATGGCAGAGTGATTGTAAATAGAGAATACGTATGATTTATATGTGGTTTACAGGTAAAAACTATTATAATCTGACCGTTGAGAACATCTTTACGACCGTTACGACCATATGGAAACCTGGCTTAAGGGCCATCCAGCTATAGACTAAATTTTGATCAAGGCCAAGACGAACAAAATCCAACACAGCCAGAAAGAGCGTCTTAGAATGACTAAAACTGCAAAGATTGGTTGATAAATGTTGTAAAATGAAGAAAATATAGCCCTGTGAAGTTCGCAAATTTTGTATATATTTGTATTACGCGCGGTAAAAATAACTACTTTCGGCTGCAAAATGCCGTTATTCAGTTTCCCGCGCGTAATGCAAATATATACTAAATTTTCGAGCTTCACAGGGCTATAGATTTTTCTTATTTTACAACGAAACTTTGCAATTTTACTCATTTTAAGACGCTCTTTCCAGCTATGGTAATGGTTTCGTTCTTCTTGTCCAGATCAAAATTTCGTCTATAACTGGAAGCATCCATTGGTCTAGTGTCACTGCCGAAGGAAAATGTGTTTTTCTAATGAGTAATTTATCCTCTTTTTCCACAGTATTAGTCGGTGAACAAAGCAACGGACGCCGTCAATCCCAGAATCTCACTCGAGAACGACTCACGACCGTCGGCGGGAGAGAGAAGTGGAACAATCGTGCAGAATTTGTTTTAATTTTGGTTGGTTATACCGTTGGCCTCGGAAATGTTTGGCGGTTCCCATATCTATGTCATAAAAATGGAGGAGGTGAGGGTTTTAACTGAGAGTTCCCATGATCCCGGGCTTTGCCGGGACAGGAAAATCCGTCTGCTAAATTTGGATGAAGAAAAGCAAAGAAAGTTCTTCTAGTTCTACGAAAGTTCTATCCATCGGAAAGCGATTCTTTCAACCTTTCTGCAATTGTCCGTTGATTGGCATAATCCAGATTGAACTTTAGTATTGATAAGTTAAAGTACCTCTTTATTGATTGTGAAGTCCTTATTCGTAGTTCTATAGTTTAATAGTTATACTGGATATCTAGTGAAGTATATTGATCCAGTTCTAGGACTGGATCTAAATTAATCCAGTCCTTGGACAGGATCAAAATTAATTCACCTCACTTTAAGTAGTGATTTATTCGTATAGTGAGATGTCATTTCGGATCCTCCAATTCGGACTGGACTAGATTTCAAGTCCTCGCATTTTGATCCAGTCCTCAGTTTCACCTCGGACGTGATCGAATGGACCATTTGCATTATAGACTAAATTTTGGTCTAGACAAAAATTTCATCACAGCTTGAAAGAGCATCACAAAATTAGTAATATTCCAAAGTTTCGTTGCGAAATGTTGTAAAATGCGGATAATATAGCCTTGCGAAATTTGCAATTTTCAGTCATTTTGTATTACAAACGGGAAATTGATGCACCAACACCCGATTGGGCTGTCAATTTCCCGTGCGTAATACAAAATGACTGAAAAACGGCAAACTTCGCAAGGCTATATTATCCGCAGTTTACAACATTTCGCAACGAAACTTTGGAATATTACTAATTTTGTGATGCTCTTTCAAGCTGTGATGAAATTTTTGTCTAGATCAAAATTTAGTCTATAACGCAAATGGTCCATTGCGCGGACTTGCATGAAATCTAGTCCAGTCCTCATAGTCATAGTCGGATTTGAAATATTACCTCGCGAACTTTTTATTTATTTTTCAGCATCGTTCCTCATTCCTTACTTTCTCATGCTGGCAATTGTGGGAATCCCGCTATACTATCTAGAATTATGCCTCGGACAGCGCATGCGTAAAGGCTCTATCGGAGTCTGGAACGAAATCAGCCCATATCTTGGCGGTGTCGGCTTTTCAAGTGTGGCTGTATGTTTCTTGGTCTCCCTGTATTACAACGTCATCATAGCTTGGTGTGTGTTCTATTTTGTAAACTCGTTCCAAGACCCCTTACCGTGGACGTCGTGTCCCACCGAAGTTGTCCAACTCGCAAACACGACCGTGCACCGAAGTGTTCCCGAGTGTAATGTGTCCAACCCGACCACATATTTTTGGTATCGGACAGTTCTGGATACGTCTACGGGCATTGAGGACAGCGTTGGTATAAACTGGAAGATGTTTATATGTCTTGGTTGCACATGGTTTGTGGTTTGGTTATGTATGATGAAGGGAATTAAAGTTACCGGAAAGGTAGTTTCATCGACGATTATTTAATCAATCAATAATTTAATCAATCGATGTGAAGAATCAATATTCAATTAATCAATGAACTCTATTTTAACGAATTAACCCATTAACAACTTTAGCAAAGTCAATGCCTTTCACGCGTCTAGGGGGTGGCCCTCATACATTGAGCTTATCTAACGTTATCCAAATAGACACTGAACCAAAGAATGGCAGACTTTCTATCTTACATCCACTTTTTTCACTTTTCAGATAGTGTATTTCACGGCTACTACTCCGCTTGTTTTGCTCATAATTTTATTTTTCCGTGGCGTGCATCTAAATGGTTATCAAGAAGGACTGGCACTACTTTTTATACCACAGGTATTATGATAATTCACTTCAAATGTATACGTGTAGACTAACTGTATTTGTGCCGGATTGCTCTATCAGTTCTGAACTGTTCTCCCTAGAGGTCCAGCAAGCGTCATCTCGCTTTGTGCACGTCTTACTAGGGAGCTTTAGATGCACCAAATCTCCGACGCAGACGCGACAATTCGGTAATAATGGACCATTTGCATTATAGACTAAATTTTGATCTAGACAAAAATTTCATCACAGCTTGAAAGAGCATCACAGAATTAGTAATATTCCAAAGTTTCGTTGCGAAATGTTGTAAAATGCGGATAATATAGCCTTGCGAAGTTTGCCGTTTTTCAGTCATTTTGTATTACGCACGCGGGAAATTGACAGCCCAATCGGGTGTTGGGGCATCAATTTCCGATCCCGCTTGTAATACAAAATGACTGAAAATTGCAAATTTCGTAAGGCTATATATATTATCCGCATTTTACAACATTTCGCAACGAAACTTCGGAATATTACTAATTTTGTGATGCTCTTTCAAGCTGTGATGAAATTTTTGTCTAGATCAAAATTTAGTCTATAATGCAAATGGTCCATTGGAAACTAGTTTTACTTTGTTTTTCTCGTGTCCCTGGCTTTGTTTACCAACAACAATCCATAGTTTTTACCCGTGAAGTGAAACTGTAATAATAGCGACAGTTTCTTGTCACGTCCGCGTCGTAGATTTGGTGTATCTTAAGCTCCCTATTATATGAAGAAGGAAAGCCTGTGTTCCCGACGATAGCCTGTGGTTTTGGGTAGAGTCAAACTGGAGCATTCTTCTCAAATGTAATTGAGGTGAAATTATAATCAGACAACTGCTTATTGCAAAAATCAGAACCCGACCACAGAGAAAGGCACGTACACTCACCACTGTATCACTAACATCACAGGGATAGGTTATTCGAAATTTCGAAGCTGGATTACATTTCGAAGTTAGCCCTAATTCGATCGGTAACAATTTAACATGCTATGATTATTTTGTGTGTGTTGGAGTTAAGTACTCAGGTGAATATGATCTATGATATGATTATTTTGTGTGTGTTGGAGTTAATAATCATATCATAGAATACACTGATATCGAAAGAACTAGACTCAGTTCCGAAATATCATCAACTCGAACCGACTTGATCACGTAGCTCAGTTGGCAGAGCATTGGATTAGTATCCCAAAGGTCGCGGGTTCGATTCCCACCGTGGTCATGCTAACTTGTCAGCTTGCCCGGGGTGGATGCACATGCACTCAGAGTAACATCACAAACATCAATTTAACATGCTGTTTTAGTTCATGTATTTCTGCACATCTTTTTGTTGTAAAACTTCAGCAAAGAAACTCCTACTGATCGAGACAAGATTTCTAAAGAAATATTTCCAAATTTATAAACAAGCTGTGCCTGTGAGTCAGCTGTAATTGGGAAGTTTGCTTTGATTTTAGGTTAACCTTGGGTTAGCTGCTTGGGTGGTCTGCTAACCTTGGGTGGTCTGCTTTCGAACAACCAGGCCAGCCCCAGAGCTGTAACTTTACAAAAATCTTTATTCACAGTTTGACAAACTAAAAGACCCATTGGTATGGATGGACGCAGCTACTCAGATATTCTACTCTCTGGGTGTGGCTTACGGCTCTCTTATTGCATTTGCAAGTTATAATCCGATAAAGAGCGAATGTAATCGAGATGCGATTCATGTATGTCTTGTCAACTGTGGAGTGTCGATCTACGCGAGTGTTGTCGTGTTTTGTTTTATCGGGTTTCAAGCTGAAGAAAAAATGGAGGAATGTCTTGGAAAACAGCTTCAAGAAAGAATAGGTAACCGTTAATTAACCGTTAGGCTCAGGAAAGATTATTGAGGAAATATTGTTTCCTAGCCATATTTAACTAAAGTAGACAAACCTGACATTGTTTCCAAGCTATGTTTCCCAAAGGTGGACAAACCATGGCCAGGAAACACTGTTTCTTAGCCATGTTTCCCAAAGGTGGACAAACCATGACCAGGAAACACTGTTTCTTAGCCATGTTTCGCAAAGGTGAATAAACCAGGAATTAACATCGTTTCCTAGCCATGTTTCCCGAAGGTGGGCAAACCAGGAAACATTGTTTCCTAGCCATGTTTCCCGAAGGTGGGCAAACCAGGAAACATTGTTTCCTAGCCATGTTCCCCAAAGGTGGACAAACCAGGAAACATTGTTTCCTAGCCATATTTCCCGAAGGTGGGCAAACCTGGAAACATTGTCCGGGAAAGATTTAAGGAAACACAAAGATTTTCAGATGTGACCTATTTTTTCCAATCCTTCAAATTAATATCAGCGAGCTTAAGCAAGCGATGTTTTTTGTCAACAAGGACGTCAGATTGCCGAGAGGTTACTGGATTAAAAACTGTGTCAGTAATTTGTTGTAATCTTCAACACATATGACAAAACGTAAGATTTTTAAAGTTTTTGCTTCCTTACGCGAGCGCTATGATGCAAAATGCCGTCAAAATTAGTTATACCAATTTTCAGGTGATGTCCTTGTTGACAAAAACGTCACGTGCAGCTCACTATAATATTTTTATTTACGAATATTTTAATCTTTACTGCTCTGTTTTAACCATCCATCTTTTTATATAGCTTTATTGAATGGAACTAAATGGGTTCACAATGATCAATTGACTATGGACTATCACCTACCTAGCGAAGAGGCTTATCAGTCATTTTATAGTGTTTTAAATAATGTATCTCTTGCAATGAATGTAACATTGCGACAGTGTGACAAAAGTGAGTTCCTCAGCCAGGTAAGTGTCCAGTAGCCTGCTCGCAGACGTTTTTCGTCGCTTGGCGTAAGGCATATCTCAGTGATTGATTATGGGTATGCGTAAGGCATATCTCAGTGATTGATTCCTGCAGTTGTTTGCATATGGAGCTGTCTGTGTTTCGCCTCATGCATTCTCATGTGAGAAGAGTACTTTCAGTTTGACTCTGCTAAACATCGCAGTTTTGTCTAAGTATTTCGGTTGCGTAAGGCATATCTCAGTGATTGATTCCTGCATCTGTTTGCATATGGAGCTGTCTGTGTTTCGCCTCATTCTCATGTGAGAAGAGTACCTTCAGTTTGACTCTGCTAAACATCGCAGTTTTGTCTAAGTATTTCGGTTTCGTCCTGCAGTAACACTGGACCAATAATAGTTTTTTTACTTAACCTGCATGTATAAAGAACGTTTTTGAATTATTAGAGCTATCTGTAGGATAAAGTTAGTACTGGATCAATAAGGAAAAACCTTTAAGATTGCAATGACCTCTAGGAAGATATATTAGAACTAAAAGAACTATCCAGTATGAATAAAGTTGGTTTAATTTAGGTTTCATTATGTGCAACCTAAATAAAGTTAAGGATACGGACTGGTCTTGTAAGGAAGAACAGTTCAGAACTGATAGGGCTATCCAGTACAAATATAGTTAGTTACGTTTTCTCTTGTGGTAATACTGAATCGATAAGCGACGACCCTTCCTAAATCTTTATTGAGAGAGAGCAATTTAGAACTGATAGAACTATCCAGTATAAAAAAGTTCAGTGTAGGTTTCCGTCTGCAGTAATACTGGAGCAACAAAAGATGACTCTTACTGGATCTCTAGGAAGAGAACAGTTTATAGAACTGATAAAGCTGTCCAGTATAGATAAAGTTCGTTTAGTTTGGTTTGGAATACTCTTCTGTTATTCCAGGTTTCTCCAGGACGTGCTCTGGCGTTTCTTGTGTTCACTGAAACGATAAACAAACTTCCCCTCCCAACGCTCTGGGCAATCATGTTTTTCTTCATGCTGGTGACTGTCGGAATTGATACTGAATTTGGAATGTTGGAAGGAGTCGTCACTCCTATTATGGACATGAAAATTTTTCCTAATTTGCGCAAAGAAGTGCTGTCTGGTAAGTTTCAGACACCTCCAAATCTTTCTTTTCCTCAACTGAACTTACCCAACCAAATATCATTTTGCTGACCAGAAATTATTTGTTCATTCGCTAGGTATAATTTGCCTTGTTAGTTTTCTACTCGGTGCTACCACAGTGTTGTCATCAGGAGAGTATTGGCTGCAGTTTATTGACAGTCATTGCTCTGGTATTCCACTGTTGGTGATAGGATTGGTTGAAGTTCTGGCTATTTCGTATCTCTATGGAATAGAAAGGTAAAATCTATATTGCTGGTTCATTTTTGTTTCCATAATAGAAAACCTAATGGTTACCTATGTTCTATAGAGCGTTTGCATGCACTCATTCCCCAGAGACCAACTCAAGAAAAGCCATGGCGACCATGTTGGTGTTCCAGACAAAAGAGTCTAATTAAAATTCGTTTGAATTGGAACACCAACGTGGCGGCTGTGACGTCATGTGCAAACGCTCTATTCTATGCTTACATTATCAGAACAGTGCTACGAACTAGGCATGTGTGTCATCTGGAACTGCCACCCAGTTTACGGATAACTCGCATGTTCTAGAATAGAATAGAATGGAATGGAACAAAGGTAACTTAAGCCCAGTTACTCGATACCGGATTCTTATCGGATTCTCTTACAACTTTTCCTATTTGAAGTTTTTGACTAATTCTGTTATATTATCATAATTTTGAGTACTAAACTCCCCTTGAAATTCTAAAATTTGATGTCGCTCTGATACGAATCCGTTATCGTGTAACTGGGGCCTAAGTAGTAGATTATGTGTACGGTATTACGTGACGAATATGTCAAAACAATGAGTGACTTGATGGCATGGAGAACAGTGAGATTCCCAAAGCAATGAAAAGACAATAGAACGTTTCGAATCACTGGATCGTGATTGGATGGCATGGATTTTGTATTTCGTCGGTAAACTGGAACATTAGTGACTGGGCAAGCGAGTTATCGAAACTTGTGATGTAATATTTCAAATCTGACTATGAGGACTGGACTAGATTTCAAGTCCGCGTAATTTGATCAAGCCCGAGGCGAAGCCGAGGACTTGATTAAAACGGTCAGCACTTGTTTCCATCTACCAAACTGACATGACGGCATTTTCGGAAAATGGAAGAGGTGTTAAATGGCGATGTAACTAACCCAAACCCCACCCCTACTCTAAGCTCTAACCCTAACCGCAACCCTAACTCTAACCCTAACCAAATTAATGAAAAAAATCCAAAAAGAAACAACTTTAGAAATTGATCAAATGACGTAACGTCAGTTTGATGGTTGGAAACAAGTGAAAACCGATTAAAACGCGAGGACTGGAAATCCAATCCGAATTTGAGGATTTGAAATGACATTCTCATACGAATAAATATCACTACTTAATTAATTTTGATCCAGTCCTAGGACTGGATCAATATACTTTACCAGGTATCCAGTATATTATCATGTGAACAAAATAAAGCAATATGGTTGGCTAATTTACTCGTGAATTATTAATGAGTTTGAGATTTGGGTTTTAACAACGTTGTCTTATATTTCTAGATTTAGCGATGACATCGCATATATGACGACCAAACCTCCAAGGTTCATTTGGAAATGGTGTTGGAAATTTATCTCGCCAATTTCTATCTTAATTATCCTTATTATGAGTGTTCGAAACATGGCGAAGAACCCGCCAGTTTACTTAGTCTGGGATAAACTTAAGGTCAGAAATCTTTTATACTGTTTGGTCCAAACTATTTCTCTGGTAGTGCATAAATTTCACCTCAGTGACTGCATGGGTTTGATTCCTTAACATACGATTGTTTGATTATAATATTTTGTCTCATTCAGCAGGTTTGCTCTGGTTTCTTCGTTAGTAAAACTGGACCAATAAGGAATGTTCCTTTAATAGGAAGAACAATTTAGAAATGGAAGATAAATACTGATAGTTTTGTTTTAGCTTAGGTTTCCTCCTGTAGTAACACTGGGCCAATAAGGGATTTGTTCTTACTGGATCTCTATTGATACCATGCAGTTTGAAACCATATTTGAAACTGATAGTCTAGAACCATCCAGTATGAATACAATTAGTGTTTAGGTTTCCTCCTGTAGTAATACTGCAGGACAAGTTTGGTCCTTACTGGACCTCTTGGGAGAACAGTTTTTGAACTGATAGAACATATCTATTATACATAAAGTTAGTTTTTTAAAAAACAGCTATGGCATGTCCAAAGCAGTTTAACATGTTCCAACTTCATCCAACCGAACATTGTCGGGTCTGTTTAGGCATTACGTTTGGTAATGCTGATGTTGAAAAATTTTGGATGATGTTTGATTTTATTCAAAATGAAAACCGGCATTGTTAGTCCAACAGTCTAAATATCTATTCCTTTATTACCAGGGTGAAACTGTAAAGCAGCCGTATCCTCCATGGCTAGTCGTCCTGGCTGTCTTCCTCATGTTATCCTCAATTGCATTTATCCCCATTGTTGGTTTGCTAAATTATTTTGGCTGGATGAAAATCCGAGGCAAGGGTTCAATCGTTTTGCTGCCGAAGAAGCCAAGTACTGCGAATGGCCGCAATGGACAAGTGATTCGGTTGGGAAAATTACGAAATTCCAGCAATAAGAGTCGAGTTGAGGCGGTGGCCGAACATTCTGAAAATGGAAATTGTGAAAGGTTAATTACTAATGGTGATACAAGTTTTACCTGAGATTATCAGTAACGCAAGAAGGATAGTTGAAGTATACAACTCTCTGTGAATATGCACTGCATTGAACTGCAGGGGTCGGTTGTAAACTGCATTGAACTGCAGGGGTCGGTCAAAAGCCAGTCAGCTTAACCCTGGGTTAACAATATCTTGGAAGCAATCTTCCCAACAGCCACTTTATAAACCATGGTCGGATTTTGAGGGGAGGTGTGTGGAGGTGCGCACCCCCCCTGAGATAATTTTGCACCTCCCCTGAGAATTTTTGCACCTCCCCTGAAAAGTCATGCACATCCCCTTGGGAAAGTTTCAATAATAGGTCAAAGTGAAAATTTGACATTTTTTGGTTGCTTAGGTCTACACTTCGAAAGAAAGTTTGTCTGTAAAATCGAAGCAATGATAGCCATTCATCTCGCGATCTGTGTCAAGCATCCTTTTAATGCAATATTTTGAAAGAATTTTTGTAGTAATTGTAATCAGTTGTAATGAGTTGTACAGTCATAATTCATCAATACACTGATACATATGTACACTACATACATCACGTCGTTGACTTTGCCCCGTTCTGACCCCTAACTTCCCATGGGGATCGTGAGCTAGACCGCTGCACCTCCCCTAAATTTTTTCCACTTCCCCCACTATTTCCACCAAAATCCGGCCTTGGTATAAACATGGAATATTCAGTTTGTCTGGATCAACGGAAGTTATTTTTTGAAGCTTTGAAATAGACAGACATATGCGGAAATAAACAAACCAAAATTTTAACCCAGCGTTAGCGCTAACTCCAGCTTTGAACAACCAGCCCCGGATGAATAAAACGGGATTTATGAAAGAAGGAGTGACAAGATTAATTATAGTCAGCACTAATTATTTATTTAGAGTGCTTTAATTTATCCTGTAAGAATTATATAAGCACTATATAGGCACAAGCCGGAATGGATGACCCTACAAACACGATTTTTTTACAGTGAAACTGGTAGTTAAACTATTTAGTTGTTGAGTGAAACGACAACTTTACTAATTAAAACTGTCTGTACCAGTGTAGGTAGAACCAATGTGGAATTGCTGTGCTGAGTGGTTATATTACTACCTGAAATAAACAAGCAGAAACTCGACGTTTCGAGTGAAGGCCCGGCCCTTCGTCAAGAGTTAGTAGAAACTCTTGACGAAGGGCCTTCGCTCGAAACGTCGAGTTTCTGCTTGTTTATTTCAGGTAGTAATATAACCACTCAGCACAGTAACTTTACTAATTGACTTTTAACTGTAATTATGGAATATATTAAGATAATGAAATGTTTTTCAATGTTTATAAATTGCCCCCAACATTATTGGAGTTTTTTGCAGATCTTCGCCAAAATTTCAATGGGTCATTTATTTCCCCAAATTATTGAAAATTATCCTTGACAACGAATTTTCTTTTTCTTTACAAAATAGTGTCATGCGCAGATACATGTACACCAAACGTACCTAGTCTTAATTTAATGAAAGAAAGACAACTGGTTTTGCAAATTGGTTTCGCAATTGCATGACTAGACCATTGTTCGCATTGTCAGAATATGTTCATAGGGCGCTTTCCATTAACTTGTAGCAAGTCTGGGTTGCAACGGGCATAAATATTTATTAGCTGAATTGATGAATCGTCTTTTCATGCGTTTTCCAAGATTTGAAAATTCAGTGAATTTTACTAACCTTGACCATGATAGAGAAATGTATTAAATTGCGTTACTGCGATGACGTCATTATTGCACAATCTTTGTAACAAAATGCGTGCAATCAATGGTGAAGCTTGTCAGCCAATCAAATGCTTCGATTTCTAATCTGTCGATTTTATAACCGGGTGATCTGGTTCGATCCATCCTTTGGATTTGGACGCCTTTGCCAACAGTTATCTGCAATTTTCCACCGATTTTTGGTCAGCTCCACTCCTTGATTATCTGCAATATGTCTGAATCAAACTATAAAGTTGGTAAGTAATGATTCTGTGAGTTCTGAAATGTCTATTTTGGCGGGATGTAGGGGTTCCTTTGTAGTGCTATTTATTTAGTCGGAATAGCTGATGTAATGCGCAAAATTTCGAAATATTATAATCAAAGCTAGTTCGAGGTGTATTTTGTGCAATGTGTGTTTACGAATGTTGTAGTTTACAAAATATATTTGTGTTTGAGTTTCGTATTTGCTTATAAAAGCACGTGTACTTAAAAATATGTATTGTGATATTTGCTGATATAAGTGATATTTTTGCTGATAATTTCACGTGGCAAGAATTTTAATTCTAGGAACAATATCATGGTGCAACATTTAAATAATGTAGCAAAATTTTGTACGAGTATGGCTTGTATTAATTGTACATTTGTACAACTTGCTTACAAATCATCATAAACCAAAGTCCAACAGTAGTGTGCTCTTTCCTGTAGATTTCTCCCCCTTGCATCCCATTTCCTATTAAGCCATAGAGCATGACAACTTAATTTTTTCCTGTACCCCCATTTCTTATTAACCCAGAAAAATTAACTCAGAAAAATTCATAATTTTTTTCCAAACCATTAACTAATTTTGTGGGCATGCCAATCGGGTGGAGCAAAAGCCTTGCAGCTCAGAATGCAGGGTCTGCAATTGATACCCAAAAATTTGCATTTTTCCTAGCTGATATCAGCCTGGCAGAATGGGGAAGAAAAGAAATAAACTTGGCTGAGAACGAAATGCCTGGCCTCATGATGATGCGAAAGAAGTATGGACCAACCAAGCCCTTGAAAGGAGCGAAAATTGCCGGCTGTCTACACATGACTATTCAAACTGCTGTACTCATGGAAACCCTCATTGAACTGGGAGCTGAGGTGAGGTACCAGTTAATGTAAGAAGGCTTTGTCCTGTCGCTGTAAAATTACAAATTTACAGTTGATTCAGGCCAAGCTAGTGTTTAACCCAACAATTGTGAACATGTATTTGTTTGGGATAAATGGTTTGTTGCCCATCTATACCAACAAAGTTTCAACCAGCCTAGAAATGACATTAGAAACAATTGACCCATTGAGTGGCAGCACTCTCCCCCTGACGAGTAAACAGGGCTGCAAATAAATATTTGACTTGACAGGACATTTGTCCGATCACTTTTAATTTTGGTCGGACATAACTTGAATTTGGTCGGACAAAAACCAACATCACTAAATTTGGTCGGACATATATATACGTCACAAGATATACATATAAGTCACAAGACCAGTATGTATAGTTAAGTAAAATTTAATGCTAGAACGCCCCGTAAATTTTATTGCAAAATGACAATTGAGTGAATTTGCAATCGGATTTTATCACAGCAAAAAAATGTATAATGTGACAATTTTTTTTGTGATCTGATCAATGTCCGATCAAAATTACTTTTGCTCGGACATTTGCCAAATTTAGTCGGACATTGTCCGATGTCCGACAGTAATTTGCAGCCCTGAGTAAAATTGTCTGCCGTTTCACAGAATGAAACAATAAAGTAGGGTGCATCGTCCAGCATTGCCACTTAAGGGGTTGAACATTAATTCTTCTGTTAAGCAATCAACCCATAGCCAAAAAAACATTGATCAACATTTATCTCCTCCGCAGGTTCAATGGTCTTCCTGTAACATTTTCTCCACTCAAGATCATGCTGCAGCTGCTATGGCAAAGGCTGGCATCCGAGTGTTTGCATGGAAAGGTGAAACAGATGAGGAATATATGTGGTGTATTGAACAGACCTTGGTGTTTCCTGATGGCAAACCATTGAACATGATCCTTGATGATGGTGGTGACCTGACCAAGCTCGTACATGATAGCCATGCTGATTATCTTAAAGGTTAGCAGCAGCGGTCGTCAACTTTTTTGTGTGTCTGCGACCGCAAAAAATTATTTGAAAATGTGCCTGCAAAATGTCTCCATGCAACATGCGAAATCACAACGTGACGAGCCATCAGTCATGAATTACTATAGATGCAGATTAGTAGGCTGGCTTATGAGATATGGCTTTATATATTTTTTGGGGGGGGGGAAATCAAGAATTTTAAGCTTAGATTCACAATTTTGTGCTTGCACTGCACCCAATACTCAAGGGCCGATATTGGCTGATAACCAATATTCTATTTCACTTCGATATTCTATTTCATTTGCAAATTATAATATTGGACTTCGAAAACTCATCATAACAAGCCTTGAAATAGCACCGGACATCGGACATTTGTCTGGCTGAAAAAGTCGAAAATCGGTTTTGTAACTGGAACATAATGTCCGGAAATTTTGTCTGGTGCATCGAAAACGTTGCTGGGTAAAGTGTCTGTCAGCTGAAAATATTTATTTCAAGGCTTGGATGAATTTACATTGATATACATTTGGGCTACCGGTACTGAGTTGTGTTACATTTAATAATTGAAATTCATAACATATTATAAAATTTTAAAAATTTATGAACTTATATATAGTACAATGTACAATATTGGTAATACCAGCAGTAAAATTTAAAATACCTATATTTAGGACAGATATTCTGATATCCAATGAAGGTATTTGCACATCTCTGTTCCCAAGCATGTAACCCATAGGGATAACCAGGATGGGACTAAAAAAATATATAACATGACTTTGTGCCAGATCTTAGCCAAACCAACTCGGAACTGATTGTTAATTTTGTATGACATTTTGTGTTTCCTACTGTAAATGTTTCAGGAATTGTTGGCATTTCCGAAGAAACAACCACTGGTGTCCACAATCTTTACAAAATGTTCAAAGATGGCTCCCTCAAAGTTCCTGCAATCAATGTGAACGATTCTGTAACAAAGAGCAAGTTTGATAATCTCTATGGTTGTCGAGAGTCATTAGTTGATGGTATCAAACGTGCAACTGACATCATGTTGGCAGGCAAGACATGTGTCGTGGCAGGGTACGGTGATGTTGGCAAGGGATCAGCTAGTTCACTCAGAGCATTTGGTGCAAGGGTATTGATTACTGAGATTGATCCAATCAATGCTTTGCAAGCTGCTATGGAAGGTACATACATACATACGTATATACATACACACATACATACATACATACATAATTTATTCAAAGTATTAAATATTATCACTACAAATAGTGTAAATCTTCGCACCTTGAAAAGAAAGAATTGTGAGGTTAACCCTATATTAATAATTTCCTGATAAAAGAAATGTCTTTGTTTGCACAGACATTTTGTTATTTTTCTGACACAAAGCAGTGACACATCGGGAACCGCGAAACTAGTTCTTTTGTGCATGTCCGGTGCCGACTTTCGGTTGCTAAAAAAAAACACCATACCGACTGAATCTTTTGGTTAACTGCACGTCTCTAATGTTATTCAAAGGTCTCCACTTAATACTCACCTAGGTATGATAATTATACATAGGTTATGAAGTGACAACCATGGAAGAAGCAGCTCCCAAATCGCATATTTTTGTCTCTGCTACTGGATGTCGTGACATCATCACAGAGAAACATTTCACGCAAATGAGAGAGGATGCTATTGTTTGTAATATTGGACATTTTGATATTGAAATTGATGTGGCTTGGCTTAACAATAATTGCAAGAAAGATACCATCAAACCACAGGTGAAATATGATCTTTTCAGTTCTTATTCTAGCTGGTGTATGGTATATCCATTAGTTGCATGTGCATGTATGAACAGGACTGCTGAAGGTTGGGGGGGGGGGGCAAAACGTTCCTAAGCAGCAGTCGGATATCATGATAACATTTTCCTGAATAAACTTGTCATCTCTTGCAGGTTTATGATACATGATATCATTATGTATGTTTTTGTAGGTTGATAGATACGAACTACCCAATGGTCGTCACATTATATTACTTGCTGAAGGTCGTTTGGTTAACCTTGGCTGTGCTATGGGTCATCCTAGTTTTGTGATGAGTAACTCGTTCACAAATCAAGTTCTTGCTCAAATTGATCTCTGGACCAATCCTAAGAAATATGCCATTGGCGTTCATGTCCTGCCCAAGAAGGTTTGTATTCAAGTAACAAAATGTACATGCAGACAAACAAACAAACAAAAAGTTAACAAACAAACACTAATCCCAGTCCTAATCCCAGTCCTCTAGGTGTTTTTCTTTATCTCCAAATCCATAATGTCATTGATTGACCAGCTCTCCTACCTCTTTTATCCAAGTCCATACCATCTCAGATTGCTTCCCTCACCTTCTCTGCAATGTCTACCGCCATACATCCTCTGATCTCTTCATTCCATGTCTTCTCTGCAGTGTCTACCACCATACATCTTCTGATCTCCTTCCTCTCTTGTTATGTGTCTATACCATCTCAGCCATGTTTATCTTTGCAATGTCTACCACCCGACATCTTACTTCTTCATTCTATAAATTATCACTGACCAGTTCTTCTTCATCTCTTGTTATAGCCTGCGTGCAGGCCCAAGGGAACTTGATAGTGGGCCTGCAACCATCACCCCATGTTTTCGATTTTCGCCGGCCGAACCGCCGGCTAAATTCCCATTGGCTAGCTGAGGCGATCGGTAATTAATTAACCTAGCCCATTGTGCAGGCACAAGGGAACAGTGATTCATCACAAAGGCATAGACAAAGGCTCTCGATAAGCTTAAAATTTGAAAATTGATCACTTTTTTCGATTACAAATGGAACAAGAACAGACTGTTTATTGTTTACTTGAAGGAAGACATGTTTTTGCCGTTATGCCAATGGGGATTGCTTGTCGTGAGTTGTTGGAATAGCAACATTACGACTGGGGTAAACTATAGTAACCTTTACTTGAGTTTTATTAATTTCAAACAGACTTCAGTTGATACGTTATGTGTTCTCACTTCCTCAAGAAAATTATCTTTTGGTTGATGTTGAGATGTAGTTGCATGTAAGAACTGTAAGCCTATTCGAAACACTTCGCGATTTACAAGGCTTCGCAGAGAGAGCGAAACAGAAGGCGGTATTAAATTGCCGTTTGAAACGAAACGATCTGGACTCGGAACGCTCTCTTCTTTTGTAGAGTTCTTTACCAAATGAAATAAATTTCGTACTTTCCGCCGCCAACAAGAATTGCACACACGATCTGATAAGTGAGACAATTTATTTATAACAATGCCAATGGCGACAGCGAAGCACACATAATATAAATCCTAATGTGGTCGCCCGACTTCCCTCATGATTTGAAGTTTGAGACTGGTTTTCTGTTGAAATTCGTCCTAATTTGCCTGTTCCGATTTTAGTTGAAAATGAGCACTTGCAAATTTGGCAATTACTGACTGCGTTGCTTGCTTTTTGGAGTTAAAACGCAGCCATTTACACATTGTTTATTAGTGTTCTGAATAAGCAGAGAAAACCCCGCAACATTTTAATGCGAGTTTGTTTGTTAATATTTGGGTGCTGTCATTGGTTCTTTTTTGACAATTGACGCGCGAATGGGGCGTGTTATGAAAAGGGGCGTATTTCAAAATACCGGGCGATGGTTGCAGGCCCACTATCAAGTTCCCTTGGGCCTGCACGCAGGCTACTCTTGTTATTACTTGTCCATACCATCTCAGCCTTGCTTCCCTCACCTTCTCTGCAATGTCTACCACCATACATCTTCTGATCTCTTCATTCCATGATATTTCTTGTTATGCGTCTATACCAATGGTTCTCAGCCATATGTCATGCCGCCCCACATCTTACCTCTTCATTCTATAATATCGCTGACCAGCTCTTCTCATATTACTTGTCCACACCATCTCAACCTTGCTTCCCTCACCTTCTCTGCAATATCTACCACCCCACATCTTCTGATCACTTCATTCCATAATATCTCTGACCAGCTCTTCTTCATCTTGTCTTACCTTGCTTCTCTCGCCTTATCTTTTATCTGCAATATTTACTACCCCACATCTTCTGATCTCTTCATTTCTCATCTTGACTTTGTGGATTTTGTATTTCAGTTTTCTTGGCACTTTCCTATCACAGAAGATTCTTAATATTTGTTATTTCAATGCTTTTCACAAAACCAAACAATCTTTTTGACTCAACCTTTTTATTCCAGCTTGATGAGGAGGTTGCCTTGCATCATTTGGGGCAGATTGATGTGAAACTCACAAAACTGACAGAAACACAGAGCAAATATCTTTGCATGCCTCCCGAAGGACCATACAAGCCAGACCATTACCGTTACTGAACAATCTACTGCTCTGGGTAAATAACACCGCATCAATGTACGGTCAGATACTTAGTTTATTATGCTATAGTTAAAATTTAGTTTATATCAAGTATAGTAACCCATTCAAGTTTTTATTAAATCAGCATATACGAAATGATAGCTTGAATCCTGAGTTCACAAGATGCTAATATTCGAAGTGAACAAGCTTTCATTGGTAGGGATGTAACTACACACGTAAAAAGCACAATTGCAACAAACCTGCAACAGTCTGGTAGCAATGCTGTTCCAACAACAGGATGTGTTCACACTGCTTGTTCCCAGCTTGCATGACAAGTTGTCAACAGCTTGTTGACAACTTGCTACAAAGTTGTTGAGCTCAACAGACTTGTTACAAGTTGTTCCAACAACTTGTTATCGTCTTGTCATTCGATCAACAATTTGTCAACAAGTTGTGAGCGACAACCTTGTTGCGAATACATCTTGTTGACAAGTTGTGAGAATTTTACGTGTGTACCTGCAAAATATAAGGAGAATTTTGACGTTTCGAGCGAAGGCCCTTCGTCTGGAATGACGAAGTGTGTTCCATCTTCGAAGTGTGTTTCATCTTGTATTTTGCGAAATTGTCTTCTAGTAAATATAGTGTAAAGAGCTTTTCCTTGATTTGTATCTTACACTAGAAGATTTTAGCTTGCTGCCAACAGCCTTTTGCGATATATTCGTCAACCTTGCTCTTGGATAAGCTAGGAAGGGTTTCTGCGGAAACATTTGATAATTCTGATGTTTCTTGGAATATTTCCTTGTTTAACTCTCTTCGAAATTTTAGAGAGATTGCAGGCCCTAAAATATCGGTCGGTCACGGACATTGTCCGACCCATTCGTGAAATTGTCCGACGTTGATCAAAATGTACCCTAGTCCAGGACTAGACCTCGTACGTTAAATGGATAATCAAAGTGATGTACGCGTAAAAGGTGAACCGGAAATGTTGTTTTAATGTAATGGAGCGCGGAGCGGCGAGTGAAACGATGAAGTGCGTGAAATCGGGTTTAAGTTATCGATGTCTTACTGCTGCTATTGGCAAGCAAGATCATTTTGACTTGGAAATAAGTATGAATGACACAAATTTTTTGATATCTTCACAAAATTTACCGTTCCGAATTAATACATTGTGCTGATATTAGCTTGTGTCATTCAGACTTATTTCCGAGTCAAACTGGACTGAAGGTCATCGGACATCATCATACAGTACATATACAGTATGCCCGAACGAAATTCAAAGTCATCGGACATTTTGTCAGACAACCCTGTAAAAGATATTTTAAGGCCTGCATTGAGTTCGCAAAATTCACTGAAAGAAAATGGCGTTCGACAGTCGTGGAATTTTTTAAATTTTTTTGAGAAGATGGATAAAATGTACAGTATTTCGGAAATTGAACTAACGTTTGTGAAGAAAATACTGGACAATTTCTCTACCATTTTTTTTTTTTTTTTTTTATATAAACATATTTATTTAGACACATTTTCTCCAAGAGCTCATAGCTCATCGTGGGAGATTATGTGTAAACATTTACAATATTTTTGAAATTTAGTAAAGTAAGAAAGAGATAAATAGATATAGAATGAAATAGAAAGAAAAGAAAAGCATCGTCAATTAATCTTTAATCTTTAAGAGAATCGATTAGAATTGAGTATAAATAATTGAACATTTCTAAATAATATTACGTTTTCGTCATAGCTAAGTAAGTCAGAACCATGCAGAAATATTTGAACTTTCTGTTTGTCTGAAAACCTGAACCATGCGTCATTGAACAACCTTGCAGTTGAGGCAAAGAGAAGAGCGCGCTGAACGGCGTATTGAGTACAATAAAGGGAAAAATGAGTAATGGTTTGTGATTTTCCCCAACAGTAGTCACAAAAAGGAGAAGGTTTGCAATCAATTTTATATAGATAAAAGTTGAGCTGGCAGTGCCCTAAACGCAACCTTGTGTGAAGTATGGAACTCTGACGGTTAAGAGAAATATTAAACAATTTATTGGAGGGGTAAGGTGTCAGTTCCAAATTGCTATTTAGGCTGTTTGTCTGCCAGTTTTAGGACCTTTTGTAGTTATCAGTGGCAGATAAAGGCAAATGTCTGTAGTTGATAACAAATGGACACGTGAATTCTAGTGAATAAATTATATTATACAACTACACAACGGTATTTGCGCATGCGCATTAAGTTACAATGTAAGATCTACATCGTTCTAAGAAATATGTTTATTATACTAAGTTTCTAGAAATCAATTCTGCAATGATAATTCTTCCGGGAGTGTTACAGTTATCTCGTCTGTGTTCACCGTCTCTTTATCCTCCTAAAAACATAAAAAATTATTAAAATGAAGTATAACATATTTAGCAGACATATATCTATTAAAAATACCTACTATTTATCTTTAAAACATGTTTTGGTATTTTTATAACCGTGAAATAAAAATAGAAACTAAACTAAAATAAATATGCTGGACAGCTCTATCAGTTCTAAATCTTCCTAGAGATTTAGAACTGACATTTTGTATTACTGGACTAGTAAGGAAAATCGCTTACTGTAAACTAAAGTTTACTTTATGTACTTGGATAGAACTGTCAGTAGAAAACTTCAAAATGATAAAGTGTTCAAGATTTGAAATATTGGGCTCTCACAACAACGCATTTGTTGACTTCCATCATTTTGGGTGGCAAATTAAAAATAACTTTGAAACAAATGATAGCGATATTAATTTTATTTTATTACAACGACGTTTCGATGCCTCTTGCGTCAAAGAAGGACTGTAGCAGTGATTGTGGCCGTTGCTTTTGTTTGATCACTTTGAAGAGCTATAATGTTCCGCAGCTGTGTTCACACGTAAAAACGCACAAGTTGTTGCAGGTCTGCAAACAAGTTGTTACAAATCTGTTCACAAGCTGTCAACAAGTTGTCTTCGCAGTGCTTGTTCCCAGTTGGAACAAGTTTGGAACAAGCTGTTAACAACTTGCAACAAGCTTGATGGCATTATCAGACTTGTTACAAGGTTGTTCTAACAAGTCTGATACAGTCATGGTACAACAAGAATATTACAAGGTTGACGACACAAAGTTGTAACAATATTGTTATTTCATGACTGTATCGGACTTGTTGGAACAACCTTGCAACAAGTCTGATAATGTCATCAAACTTGTTACAAGTTGTTAACTGCTTGTTCCAAAGTTGTTGACAACTTGGGACAAGCAGTGCGAACATAACTTGTTAACGGCTTGTTAGCAAGATGTGAGATTTTTACCCGTGTGTAGTCGGTTGAATAAAAGATTTTTGGTGGACTATTTTTGATGATATGTTATACTGCAAGATCTAAATAAGTTTATCTACCAGTATCTCTCTTTTTCCAGTGCACCACGCTGATCCAGGACGTGGACGACATCCTCGCTTTATTTCATCTTTAAACTTAGCAAAACTACCTATCCTTAACGGGTTGAAAACCTAAAAAATAATTATTCCTTTATGATTTACATAGTTCTATCTAATGTTTGCAAGCACATGTTTCTTAAAGTGTACCTAACCCCAAATATGTTTTTTTTGTATATGTAATATTTGGGTCATTCGAAGAATAAATGCAATATATCTTTATAATTCGTTCTGCACCAGGCTGGTTAGTTGACCTTGTAATACGTGAACTACAGCCCTGGGCAAACTAGGAAACATTGTTGTGGAAACATTTGTGATTCTCGATGTTTCCCCAAATGTTTCCCTGTTTGCCCACCCGTGAAAAATTGTTGCGGAAACAAAATTTGCTTCCTGAGAAGCAAAAATGTTTCTTAGCAAATTCAGAAACATTTGATGTTTCCCTATGTTTGCCCAGGGCTTACGTTGGTAACAATATCTCCGATCGACAATGCCGGCGTCGTACTCGTTCCCGACGAAAAGACTGTGCCTGTGGTCTTAGGCCCTGTTTACACTATACCGGATTCGCTGGTCACGACATCTTTTGCCGTTATGGAGCAATGGTTAGTAGCAAATGCTTGTTAGTTTGACAGAATTGGCATGTTTATTTGGGTCTCTGAGATTAAAAATCTTCACAGCCTTTCGATACTTACAAAATTTCACCCACTCCGATAGCAATCCGGTGTAGTGTAAACGGGGCCTTAAGCCCTGTTTAAACGGATCCAACATTGTTGGGCCAACATCATCCAACATTGTTGAAATAATGGCTCAAACGGCTTCTTTTTCAAATATTTTTGTCAAGACTAGGTTTAGAGTTTAAGTAAAGCTTATCTAACCAAAAAGATTTGAAAGAGAAGCAGTCATATCTATTATAGTAACATTGTTGGATGATGTTGGTCCAACAATGTTGGATCCGTTTAAACAGGCCTTTAGTTGCGCTAGATGTAGCGCCGATAGACGTACTCCGCAGCTAGGCTGCTCCGAACTAACAACGCCCAAAAAGACGGGCCCAGATATCGATTCTCGACTATTTCTGGTTAGACGGAGACATAGGCCAACGCAAGCAAAAGAATGTAGCAACTGATAAAATATCTAAGCGCTAAACTTGCTGCAACTAGGCAAGACAGAATGAATCGGTAACAAGGCGCGAATAACCTCCCTTTGATCGATATGACACCACTGACTCCCCTCGGCGGATTTAGCATGCGTAATACATCCGCCGTTAACCACATTTAAATTTCCCTCCATTCCTGTCAGAAGTTCTTAACTTCCTGTTACAAGTTCCTAACTTCCTGTTCTGTTGCGTGCATTGTAATTGGCTAACAAAAACAATCCACCAATGACAACGCTCAGAACAGAACAGGGAAGTAAGGGGTTTCGGTGGCCAAGCGGTTAGCGCACTTGCCTTCCACCTCCGAGGCTGCAGGTTCGAGTCCCACTAAGTACCTTCTCAGTGCGACTCGAACCCAGTCCTCATGTGAAAAGAGTAAAAGTCAACGCTCTGCCGAAAGTCGGGTGCTCCGGTTTCCTCCCACGGGAAGTTGACAGGGTGGGTTAGGTAAAAAGGGCCCACAGTAATTGGCATATGCTGTTGTGGTGACCCTGCCCTAGTTGGCAAAGCTAAATAAATAAATAAAATAAACAAAAGGAAGTCGGGAAGTCGGAAAAATTTGAAAGGAAGTTTCTCTGCATTGGAATACTACAACAACGGACAAGGAACATTGCAAATTCCTCAAGGGATGCCCTTGGGGTACGCCTATGTGTAGTAAATCTGCCTTGAAGAATATCATGTTTCACTTGTACAATAAATCGCACGACTTACCGTCACAACTCGTCTGTTCTTGTTACGTTTGTCTTCTACGAGATCTCCATTTTCCACCAAGTCATCTCTCTTTGGTTTGGCAAACACTTCATAAAGAGGCGCTGCAGGGGGGATGTGTGTATCTACCGATGTTTCTCCTTTTCTAAAATCTATCCAGTTTGGAACCTAGAGAAACAATTGTTAAATTATTGAAGCGAGAAACAATTGTTAAATTATTGAAGCGAGAAACGTTTTTCTTGGTTGATATTTTGCTGATTTAACCATTAAAAAGTTTTAAAAAATTTTGTCCAACCTCAAATATCACTTGAAAAATAAATACCCACCCCTGGCCAAAAGTGGGAGTATAGATAACCCCCCCCCCCCGGGTGTGGCAAGAGAGAGAAAAAGATAGCGTCTTTGTGAAAAGAATGTGCTTTCTCGGCCTGCTGCTTAGTAAAATGGTAGTTCTTGCTTTTAATGAAAACTCGAAAGGTGATAAAAAACATCCAATATCTTCAGCGGTAGTCGAAATAATATATGCATCGTCAATCATGGCAATATATGCCAAAACAAAAGCCCGTTTTCCAATCATGGCGATATGACGCTATATGCCACTAGGCGATTCTGTTCGTGCGAAACGACTTTTTCTTTTGTCGGCGTCACTTATCACAGTCAGCAAAAGAGATGCCGACAAAGGAAAAAAGTCGATATCTTGAAAAGTACAATTCGTGGAAGAGGAAACATATTAATTAAAACATATACATGCAGAATAAGTTTAATTCTAAAGTGAACGATAATTTTTGATTGATTTGAGTCTCGCCATTGTCAGTTTTATATTCTTTTCAGCCATAAATCATTACTTGTGAAATGAATAATAATTAAACTGAATCAAAGAATAAATAATTAACTCTAAGAAACTGTAATAGACAGAAAGTTAGACTGTAACGTACTTTAATTTGAAATGAAAATAATCCGAATTAAAAACAACTTCACAGTTTCAAAGCAATATAAATTAAGAAAGCAAGCATATATATTAAACTCCATAAATCATCGAGATGAGCTAATATATTTGTTGCAAATAAACAGTCGGATCCGTTTTAAATATACTGCATCTGAGCGAATGTTTTGACTTCAAAAAGGGGTAAATCTTATTTTATACTATTTGTTGAATTTTAGTTAAAAAAAGTTAAAATGAAAAATTGCATTAAGTCTGGACTAGCATTATTGAAATCAGCAGGCTACGAATTACACGCGTTGGTGGGGCTGAAAAACAAGGATATATTTCACTATTATCAGTTTAAACTATTCTTCTTCAGAGATCCAATAAGGGTCCTTCTTTACTGACTTTACTGATCCAGTGTTACCTCAGGAGGGAAACTGAAAGGCAAAATCTTCCGTGTGAGTTGAAGTCTTCCGTGTGAGGCAAAGTTATAATCAACCACGTTCACATTTTAGGAAATTATATAGACAACTTGATTGCAAACTTGCAAAAGACACAAACATTCATAACAACGTTTTTCAGTTAAAATTGATCGCATAATACACGCAAATCTTATAATGTACTCACTCTCAATTGTTAAGTGTTCATCAAGGACGCAAACTCCTAATGAATGAAAATCTTAAGACGCTAATATAAAACCTTTCCCGATAAAAACGCGCGCTTTAATTTTCAAACAAAATTCTCCAACGTACCTTTAGTTCCCTTACAGGACGAATATACCTTCCCTCGGCTACAACAGTAGCGAAAACTGCTAAAATAAACCATTTTAGATGCTGCATTTCGCGTCTTCCTGGTCGACGATACTTAACTTCTGTGCGCAGGTGATTTGCGGAGGCACTTTATATAGGAACGGGCCGCACCACTTAATCTACACACGGCACAAACAACAGTTAATGAAAAATCAAAATTTTAAATGCCGTTTTATACACAACGCTGCATACGATTAACGCGCGCGTTGTTTTACCCGGTTGCGTAGGAGCAGTGATATTTAGTGCCATTATCTTTGGCATTGCTATTAAAAATAGGCGCGAATCACTCTCAAATCTTTTCTCATTAATTCCGACATCGCGTATAGACAACGAATTTATCACTTTTCCGTTACGATACGATCGGGAAAGCATTATTTAAAAAATCTGATAACGATGTTGTGTCGAAGACAGTTCATTAAAGTACCAAGGACTTTAGGACGATTTGACTTTTAAATTTTGATCCTATTTTGATAAATGTACTACTACGTTTAATGAACAATCCTAAAGTATATTTATTCGAATAGTAAAAGAGCCGTTTGAAATATAATCTTTCTAATTATGGCCATCTATATAGCTGGTTCACACGCTATAGTCTGCAAGTTTCTTTGATAGAAGTATGAACGTAAAAGATTTTCTAGTCCTAATCCAGAACAGACGAAAAGTAGGAAGCAATATTTAAACTAACACCTTCGTTGAAATACGCGACTAGCAAAATTGCCTCAATAAAATTTGAAATTGAAAAAAGTATTAATCATTGTTTAACATTTGCCATTTGGTGCTATTAATGAAGCGCTTTAAGCCTGATTTATATACTAGATATAATCTGTCAATATATGACACGAATGTCTTAATGAAGCAGCCATTCGGCGACGCATGAATCGCAAGCGCCTTTCAACTTTGAGGTTTCGATTCAACTTTCGATTCTATTCGCGTGTGAAAAGAAAAAGTTAGAAAAACTCTCCATGAAATGTTGTGGATTTTCTCTGGGTATTTGACAGGATGGGTTGGGACAGCTATGGGGAAATAATATCACAATTCACAATTGTAAAGATCGAAAGTCTATATAATTATTATATCAGCTAAGCACATAATATTATACGCTATAATCGGTTACTGAAAATGTCTGATGGAGATTTAGCGATTTAAATGTATCTGAAAACTAGAATATTCCCTGCAATTTAAAATGTCTTCGTATTAGAGAAAAATCCCACACTACACTTGCTCTCAGGGGTGTAATCGGAATCGTGATGTGCGAACATTCAAAAGTTACGCTTTGAAATTTTAAATGAATAACAGCATTGTGTTGCACAGATACGGGGTTAATTTATAGGCAGGGGTTATAATTAATGCCCTGGGGTGAGTTAGACATTGAATGTCATTTTTGGAATAAACATGCGTTTATTTTGAAGGCTATATTCCACTAACGCTTTTTGTCAGGAAGAGTGTAATTTAGCGAGTGAGTTAGAGTTAGAGCATGCGCAGTGAGTTAGAGCATGCGCAGTGAATTTCAATATTATCTATTTAAACTTCTAAATGTTGTTCCTATATGGTGGTTTAGTGAGGAGCGTCCAGTACAAGAGGCCAAGTTTTACGCATGTGAAATCTAATCGTGCGCAAATAATTCAAGAAATTTTTTAGTGCTGTAAAATAATAAAAATAATTTCGAAGAACATTAGGTCAGGGATCTCATAAAAACACGCTGTGAAAACAACAGCGCGCAGTTCTTATAGATAACATGTTGTTTTTATTACTTTGGAGAACGATATCGCAATTTCCTCCCTGTTCTCCTGTGAAATTTCACATAGAATCACACGGGCAGTACAACATGAAGATAACCGAAGTCACTATCCTTGCACCTGCGCATATAACTGCATGAAAAATGCTATCAAGATATCGGGAAAACCGAAGCGCATATCGGCTTGGACACACACAGAACGGACGCGCATTTCGGAAACTGCTGGCCGCCAACATTTGACGAAAACGCATTTAATTTTAACAAAGAACTTTGTATCGTTACATAAAATAGACGCACTTAAGTTAACAGGGTATTTATTAATCAAGTATATTTTTAATGCACCGCCCGCACAGATTGCATTTACACCTCTGTAATATTAGTCTACAGTCAAGTGGGTCAAAAGGTATAACTAGACTACTTTAATATTGACTACACAATGATTTTGTTTTTGAAATTCGAAAGCCGATCACTTTGCTGGAAAGCAATTTTTGTAAAAGCTTTTGTATTTTTCGAAAAAGTAACTTACGATTGCTCTTCAAACGAAATACAATATACATCATCTCATAAGAATTTCTCATAAGCTACTCTGGACTAAATTAAAAAAAACAAAAAACACATTTTTCTTATATCAGATTGGCGTAGGCTTTTAGGATTCACATTGCGTCATATTATCAGCAAACTCAGCCCGCGCATACAATATATACAAAAATAGTTTGCCGTCATTTTCACCAGATGTTCTTTGATGCATGCATGTTCTTCAACGCTTTGACAAAAACATCTTTCTAAAATTACTGTAAAATTTTTGGTTTTGTGGAGTTAAACTTTCAGGAGGGCACAATATACTGTCATACTGTCAAAATATTTCACTAATTATAACTTGATATATATTTCCACTTCAATTAGAAAGTATTAAGAATATAGGGGGGAAATAATCTGATTATAGAAACATCTTGTAGACTCAAGACACAAAATTCAGTGGGATATTTCGGAGTTAACTTTCGAGCCGAATCGGTTTCTCTTTAAAATATATCGTTCCTAACTTCACGGCAAAGGGCTCTCTGCATGCAGCCTCTTTGCTGATATAAGGCTTCAATGATTTATTTCAGATGTGCAATGATTCGGTCTTGGATTGTGCGATTCAAATTAACTTGGGATTCAATTATTCATTCTTAGGATTTAATGATTCATTCTTGTATGTAGTAGTAGGGCTCGATGTTCTCATTTTCAAGATTCGTTGATTCAAACTTTTATAGGATTCGATGATTCATGCAGTTAGTTAAGATTCAAGGATTGATCCGTCAATGATCCATTCGATTCTTAATTAAGCCTTCTGATTCAATGATTTATTCGATTCTTAATTAAGCCTTCTGATTCAATGATTCATTCGAAGGATTCATTGGGATGAGAGTTGATAAGAGTTGCAACTCTCGCTCGCGTTTGACCGCCAACTCTTATCGACTCTCACCAATTACTCTCATCAACTTTGAGCTGGTTCTAATTTTGATGAGAGTTTTCGCTATACGCGCGCGCCGCTCGGGGTAATATTCAGGTAACTCTCATCGGCAACTCTTGTTCTTGTTTGACCGGAGCACGAGAGTTGAAAAAAACTCTCATGCAAACTCTTGCTTCTCAACTCTTATCAACTCTCATCCTCGTTTGACCGAGGATTTAAGTCTGGTTTCCATATGGTCGTAACGGTCGTAAAGATTGAGTTACGATCTTTCTCATCAGCCGAAATACAACATTTTAAAACTGAGTGATTATAACTAGAGAATATACGTATGATTTATATGTGGTTTAAAGGTATAAACTGGCCGTTGAGAAAGATCATGCATGACTCTATTTTTATATTTACGACCATATGGAAACTAGACTTTAAGATTCGATCATTTATTCTATGTCTATGACTCATCAATTCAGGTGGTATTGTCTCTTTCCCAGTCAGCAGGGTCTAAAACTATAATATGTAGTCATAGAATCCAGTTTAATGTATATAGTGTATGCTTTATTTAATTACTCCATTTTAATTATTCTAAAATTATATCCAAAAGTAGAACGTAGAAAAGTTGATAGACAGGACGCTGAAATAACAATGAGTAATCGGTCGCGCTTTAATATCTTCGACAAACAAGCATAAGAGCATACGGAAACGTCAATTTATCGAGCGAAAAACAACGTCAATTTGTGTACCAAGAGAGATTAAACTGATCGACAGCAGTGAGTATATATTTGTAGAGGTACGTGGAATATTTGCTAAGTTATGAAAACGTTAGGAATAGAAAATACAGTGAAAACTCGCGCATGAAACAAGCTGTGACAGGCTGGCGCAACAGATGTAGATCACAGTTTGCTTGTCATTTTATATTGGTTTGATAATGTTTTTGGAATACAGACGAAGTATCATCAACTCCGCCTGTTTTGTCTTTATCTTCAACATGAAGATTACAAAATATCTGTTTTTGGGATTTGTTTTATTTTGTATCTTCTAGACTAGAGAGTAGAGTTGTTGTAACATGTATAAAATGGTATACAAGTACAATGTTATGACAAGTCAATGTCAGCTTGTGTTCGTATGCTTGTTGGATTGCCAGAACTGAATTTAAACCAGAGCGGCTAGATGATAGAAAGCGAGGTTTTAAAGGAACGAAGCAAAAGAGTACGAAACTCAAAAGAGTACGTACAAAAGAATACAAAACTGGACAATATTAATAAAATCCAAGCGTTCAAAAATAGTACAACTTGTCATAGAACACTTGCTAGTCTATAACCGCGGCTTCAGTAAACTTAGTCGTCTAGGGTCTTGGGCTTAGGTATCTCCAAAAAGTATGAAAAAGTTTGTGTCTTTGAGAGAGGTTTGCACTGTCAGAAACGTTGATCAAATTCACGTGTGATCGTACCGAGCACATAAATTTAATCTCGTATTCTTTCAAAACGGACAAAAACCAAAAATTATTGAAAGCGTGGTATTGAACTCAGACGTTTTGTTAATTTAACATATGGCTTATTAATAAAGTTAATGCACCATCTGTCATTTTTATAAAACAGACCACGAAGACAAAGAAGAAATACTTTGTCCTACCAATTACATGCAGTGTTTATAATGTCGAAGCTTCTCTTTATTTTATTACTTTTCTATTCTTAATATAATGCTTGGTTCCAAAGTGAAAATGATATTGAATTAAAAACAGAATAATAATTAAGTTTATAAATGCATGTTTTCCAAAGGGTACCCATGATTGGGTACTCTTCGCCCGGGTGCTGCCTCGTACCCGTGCGCAATGTTGCTACTATTAATTTGATTTCATTTTTCTCCCACGTGTGTCATCCCGCGCGCTATCCACGCAACGGCGTAGGAAAGCAAAGCGCCTGGGTACGAGGCAGGGGGGCTATTACAGTTTGAGAGAGTGGTTTTCGGATATATATCTCCATTTCGTGGCGGTTTACGGCCATGAAAAATGTATCGCTCGGTGAGGCAAAATCGTTGAACATAGATTATATTTGATACATTGATTTGATATAAGCGCCATTTGAAGATTGGCTGCCAGGCTACCTTCACAAAAATAAAATCTAATGAGCATAGCAGATTTGTCTGATAGAGTCAGGCTACTAAGTTCGAATTCGGAGCCATTGAACAAAAACTGTTTATCTGTTCTAGAAGAATGGTCGAAAACAATTTCGTTTTCATTTAAAGGGCAAGTCAAGTCCGTAATGTAAACAAACGGTTTGTTTACATTTTGAACTGCTGTATTTTTTAAAATATGATGTACTGTCTGAATATCTAACACCATTTTGGTTCGTTATGCTTCTACATGAATATGAAATAGAGTTTGTGTTCAGAAAAATTCGAAACATTCAAAATTTGGGCAATGTTTACCTCAGAGGGCCCTCTATTGTTATGCGCAGAACCGATGCGCAGAACGGACTTGACTTCCCCTTTAAAATTGTCGTTGAAAATTACTCCGTGCAACATTGCCTTTACCATGTGTACATTGCAATCTACAGTATATTTCCACCCAAGTGCAAAATCAGCATTAAAGGCACAGTTCCGCCTTTTGAATGATGGTTTCTAAGTATAGGTTATTTTGAGGCAACGAGGGGATATGTGATTTATTCACCGAGGCGCGCAGCGCCGAGGTGAATAAACACATATCCCCGAGGTGCCTCAAAATAACGTACTTATTTTTCACATTGCGAGGTTGCGTTCATGAGACAGAATAGAAATGCCATATTGCCTTCGTTATGTTGCCATAATAGAATAGAAATGCCATATTGCCTTATCTTAATGCCATATTGCCTTCGTTATGTTGTTTTTTTTTTCTCTTTTTTGTGCTGCAAAGACATTGCAGGTGAATATTAGAGGGGATTATTAATTGCAGGTGAATATTAGAGGGGATTATTAAACGGAAATTGATTAGAGTGGAATATTGAATATATTCCCCGATAAGAACAAAGGAAACCGAGCAGGGTGAAAAATAAGGCGCATTTCAGCCCTTTTTCTTCGTTAAAATGTCTCTGCGAAACGCACACACGTAAAAATGCACAAGTTGTGACAGATCTGTTCACAAGCTGTCGACAAGTTGTCTTCGCACTGCTTGTTCCCAGTTGTTGTAACAAATTCGTAACAAGCTGTTAACAACTTAATTTAGTAAGCTTGATGGCATTATCAGACTTGTTACAAGGTTATTCTAACAAGTCTGATACAGTCGTGATATAACAAGAATATTACAAAGTTGACGACAGGGTTGTAAGAAGGTTGTAACGATAATATTATATCATGACTGTATCGGACTTGTTGGAACAACCTTGTATAAATGATAGTATCAACAAGGTTGTTACAAGTTGTTAACGGCTTGTTCCAAACGGACGTCAGATGCCGAGGGGGGACTGTATAAAAACTGCGTTTGTGTCAGTTTGTGGTAATCTTCAACACATATGACAAAACATAAGATTTTTAAAGTTTTTTGCTTTCTTACATGAGCGCTATGATGCAAAATGCCGCCAAAATTAGTTATACCAATTTTCGGGTGACGTCCGTTCGCACTGCTTGTTACAAGTTGTCAACAGGTTTGGAACAACTTGTTGACAACTTGTAACAACCTTGTCGAAATTATCAGACTTGTTGCAAGGTTGTTCTGACAAGTCCATTACATGCTTGATATAACAAGATTGTTACAACCTTGTGTTGACAACCTTGTAACATCCTTGTTATATCATGGCTGTAACAAACTTGTTGGCACAGTCTTGTAACAAGGCTGATAAGTTGTTAACAGCTTGTTCCAAACTTGTTGATCTCACTTCAGGTTAATTTCGCGTAAGGGATTTTTTCAGTCCGCCATGTTTTTAGCAAGTGCCCTAAAGAGAGGAAGTCACCCCCCTGAAAACATATTGAAAATTTAATATTCCAGGGGGGTGAATGCCTCTCTTTAGGGCACTTGCTAAGAACATGGCCGCCAGCTATTTCGGTACAAAAGCGCCTTACGGTTTTGTAATGGAAGTTACACTTCTGTATGTCTTTATTCTGTGTCCGTAGTGAGAATCGAACCCACGAACTCAGACATGAAAGGCGCTCTCGTCTCCGCAGAGGCATAGAATAAAGATCCATATAGAAGGGCCACTCAGGGGTGCAACGTGTCCTCGTTTTTTTATGCAAAAATATGCAGTTTACTGGCCAGAAGGCGGAGCAGCCAGCCAGTACAGCGTGTTTATTGGCCAGAAAATGTCATTGACTGGCTAGGAAAATGGCGGCCAACATGCGTAATGCGACATGCGCGAGGACAGAAACTTCAAAGCTTCCGACGTAAGTGGCCCTTCTATATGGATCTTTATTCTATGGCAGAGGCTTTAGTTTTCTTAGGATTTAATATTACGATGAGATACATTTCACTACACTTTACATGGCGGATCTTGGAACACGAGCGTAGCCGCTGGGCGAAGGAGCGCAGGCGGCAAGTGAAAGGCGCTTGTCTGACGACAGCGCCACCGAAGCCGCAGAGCACAGGAGGAAATTGCCGCATAACTTTCTGTATATGCAAGTTGGTCAAAGGAATCAACAATGTTATTTCAATATTTTTTAACCTTTGATGTGATTGCCACCTTTAATTTGAAAAAAAACCTGCATATCAATAACTAAAGTCGAGCTAGAAAAGTTGTACAGTAACTTATTTTACAGTTTTACATGTTCTTTCTGCCCAAAATACAGACTTAAATTTTGTTGCCATTACAGTGAAGGGCGAGGGGGGCATTCAAATGATTCAATTCTCCTGTTTTATTCACCTTACTCATGGGTAAATATCACACAAGACAGGACTGCACAGACATTCAGACAATTACTCCGAAGGCGAGGCTGATAAAAAGATAGTCGCGCATTTTGGGTTTTTGTCTTTCAATAATTGTATTTTGCTTTTTAGATATTTTAATTTGGTTATCTTGATACCATTGTTATAAATCACAATAAGATCCTTGACCTTGTAGGGTTTGCGTGGTAAAAATAAATATAATTGTTTTGTTTTGTTTTGCGAGGCGGCTTTCAAACAATTATATTTCCGGCATGCAATCAAACAAGAACTACAGTAATAATTGGCATAATTTTCATGGCACTGTAAAACTGGCTTCGAGTAAACAGTTTGATAATACGTACTCTACCATCATCACATAAACATTCACAGTATTAACTGACTAGAATTAAAAACAAATCTTATAGTACTACAGGGTGTCCCAAAAAACCCCGAAAACTATTGAAATCACCAATAACAATTTAATTGTTAGAATTTGAATGCCTTAATTGCACTCTGTTGGTTCCCACGAGTGCATAAATGATTGACATAAGTAAATTTTATGCATAAAGAAACTGTTTAAAAAGCTGAGCAGAAAATCGCGCACTTTACAAGGAGATGTTCTTTAAAACTAAATTTTAATACATGCACCTTGTCAATATTTTACGCATCATTACGTTCAGCTGTTTGAAAGGGCATTCAAATTTTAACAATAAGTGATTTCAATGGTTTTCGTTTTTTTGGGACACCCTGTAGTTTGGTACAAATGCTAAGGGATATGCCGGAATCGCCGGATTCAGATAATGGTATCCGGTAAAATATAGACATCCGGCAGTATCTGGCAAAATTTAGCCGATTAATACCGGAACTTTTATTAGAACCATCAAACCGAATAAATTTTTTTTGTCTTTGTGTGTTAAGAAATTGTGAAACAGGAACGACTACTGCATGCATGGCACGCAGCAAATGTTTTCGAGATGAAAACTACCATCTTGGCATCTGACAGAACAGTATCATTCCTACCATCCCTACCAAATGGCAAATGGTGGTCTACACGCGTAAAAAGCCGCCAACAAGTTGTGTTTGCACTGCTTGTCCCTAGTCTCGTCCCTAGTTGTGAACAGTTTGTTTGGAACAAGCTGTTAACAACTTGTAACAACCTTGTTGATATTATCAGACTTGTTACAAGGTTGTTCTAACAAGTCTGATACAATCATGATATAGCTTGGCTTGTTGGCAGACTTTCTACAAGATGCGAGATTTTTAAGCTATCAACAAGTTGTCTTCGTACTGCTTGTCTCAAGTTGTCAACAAGTTTGGAACAAGCTGTTATTAACAACTTGTAAGTTGTAACACTCCTTGTTGATATTATCAGACTTGTTACAAGGTTTTTCCAACAAGTCCAATGCAGTCATGACATAACAATATTGTTACAACCTTGTAACATTCTTGTTATATCATAACTGTATCAGACGTGTTAGAACAACCTTGTAACAAGTCTGATAATGCCATCAAGCTCTGTTACAAGTTGTTAACAGCTTGTTCCAAACTTGTAATAAAAATAATAATAAAAATAATACTACTAACATTTATATAGCCCCAAATGTTCTGAGCACAAGTAACAATTTGTGCGTTTTTACGTGTGTAGTAAAACTTGATGGCATTATCAGACTTGTTACAAGTTCGTTCTAACACGTCTGATACAGATATGATATAACAAGAATTTTACAAGGTTGACGACACAAGGTTGTAACAATATTGTTATATAATGACTGTATCAGACTTGTTGGAACAACCTTGCAACAGGTCTGATAACATCAACAACTAAAAAAAGGTTGTTACAAGTTGTTAGCTTGTTCCAAACTTGTTGCCAACGCAACTTGTTGACGGCTTGTTGACAGATTTGCTACAAAATGAGAGATTTGTGCGTGTGTGTAGCTTTGGAGTTTGGATACAAGTGCAAGCAAGTTATTGCAAACTTGAACGGCAGTAGATAATTTAATTTTGCAATGCAGTATCATCTACAACACTTCACCAAAACCAGTAATAGAACAAACGTTGAAAATTTCATATCAAATGACATGAACTCAGTACTTGTGTACTTGGGCTTCACTGTCCATAATAAAGAAGCACTGAAGCACATGTCTCCACCCCACCCTAGTGCAATACACACGCAATCTCACATCTTGTAACAAGTCTGCCAACAAGCCGTCAACAAGATGTATTCGCACTGCTTGTCACAAGTTGTCAACAGGTTTGGAACAACTTGTTTGACAACTTGTAACAACCTTGTCGAAATTATCATACTTGCAAGGGTTGTTCTGACAAGTCCGTTACATGCTTGATATAACAAGATTGCTACAACCTTGTGTTGACAACCTTGTAACAAACTTGTTAGCACAGTCTTGTAATAATGCCATCACGCTTGTTACAAGTTGTTAACAGCTTGTTTCAAACTTATTACAACAAACTGGGACAAGCAGTGCGAAGACAACTTGTTGACAGCTTGTGAACAGACTTGTAACAATTTGTTTGCAGACTTGTTACACACGCAAAAGTCTCGCATCTTGTAGCAAGTCTGTCAACAACTTGTCAACAAGTTGTCTTCGCACCGCTTGTCTCAAGTTGTCAACAAGTTTGTAACAAACTGTTAACAACTTGTAACAACCTTGTTGATATTATCAGACTTGTTGCAAGGTTGTTCCAACAAGTCCGATACAGTCATGATATAACAATATTGTTACAACCTTGTGTCATCAAACTTGTAACATTCTTGTTATATCATGACTGTATCAGACTTGTTAGAACAACCTTGAACAAGTCTGATAATGCCATCAAGCTTAAGCTTGTTACAAGTTGTTACAGCTTGTTCCAAACTTGTTACAACGTCTGGGAATAAGCAGTCCGAACGAATAAGCAGTCCGAACGGTTTGGAACAAGCTGATAACAATTTGTAACAACCTTGTTGATATTGTCAGACTTGTCACAAGGTTGTTCTAGCAAGTCTGATACAGCCATGATATAACAAGAATGTTACAAGGTTGACGACACAAGGTTGTAACAATACTGCTATATCATGACTGTATCGGACTTGTTGGAACAACCTTGTAACACGCCTGATAATATCGGCAAAGTTGTTACAAATTGTTAACAGCTTGTTCTAAACTTCTTGACAACTTTGTGTCAAGCACGTAATGCCACGTAAATTTATTACTGGAAAGCCGTAAGCCCGGATCCGTAAGCCCGGATCACAGATTATTAGCACTGATGAAGATCCGGGCTTACGGATCGAAAGCTTTGCAACAATAAATTTACGTACGTGGCGTTTCCACAAACAAAACTATTATAGGTTTGGAATAACTTGTTGACAACTTGTAACAACCTTGTCGAAATTATCAGACCTGTTAACAGCAAGGTTGTTCTGACAAGTCCGTTACATGGTTGATATAACAAGATTGTTACAACCTTGTGTTGACAACCTTGTAACATTCTTGTTACAAATTGTTAACAGCTTGTTCTAAACTTGTTGACAACTTGTGACAAGCAGTGCGAAGACAACTTGTTGACGGCTTGTTGACAAACTTGTTACAAGATGTGTGAATTTTGCCGCGTGTGTAGTGTACACACATAAAAACGCACAAGTTGTAACAAGTCTGCAAACAAGCCGTCAACAAGTTGTCTTCGCACTGCTTGTCACAAGTTGTCAACAAGTTTAGAACAAGCTGTTAACAATTTGTAACAAGAATGTTACAAGGTTGTCAACACAAAGTTGTAACAATCTTGTTAGAGGGTCCTGAAGGGGGGGGGGGG